AGGGAGAGAGAGGGGGTAGGGGAGGGCCTGGTGGGGAGGGGGCATTTCTTGTCAATTCAAGTTAGGGCAGCCACAAATGTCCCAAATCTGTTGGAAATATCAGAGTGCAGGGACCGCCAGGTGGGCACGGAGGCTCGGGCCTTGGCATCGCCCACGTCGTCTGTGCAGTGGACAGACAGGCACTGCAAGTGGCTGCCAGGCTGGGCTGCCGAGGCCTTGTTCGCAGGGAGGTCATGGGCTGTGGAGAAAGAAGGAAGAGAAGATGTTAGCAGTATGCTCGCAGCTCTGTGGGAAGTTCTAATTGGGGGGTTGGGGGGGTGCAGTGTGGGAGAGGCATGAGAAGAGACACAGTGTCCATGACCCCCTTTCATGCCTACAGTCTGAGGAGATCAAGAGATGTTTAGTTCGAATCCCCCTGCTGTTGCCTCTGGCTTGGTGGTGTGACTTCAGCCAAGGGGAGGCCCGCTGCTGGGTTACGGTTTTACACCCTTGGGAAATAGGATACCTAGGCAGAATAAACTCCTGAGGGTTTACCCATCACTGATGAACTAGAGTGCCCAGAAGATTAACTGGACCTGAACTAAGTTGAGAAGGCTTCCTGGAGGAGGGGCATCTAAACTGGGTGTTGAAGGATACTTAGGAGTTCGCCAGATGCAATGAAAGAGTAGTGGGGAAGATTGTCCAAGTTCAGAACACAGCCTAGTCTCTCCTTTTTTTTTTAAAGAGTTATATTTGGGGTGGCTAAGTGTTATGATGGGGTGCATGGAAGCAGCAAGGAAAAGTGCAGATGTCAGGAGGGCCCAAAAGAGCAGCAACGGCCACAGGAAAGAAAAGGCAAAAAAAGTAACACAGCCTATTCTCTTGTCATCTTCCAGAAAGACACTTGCTAAGTGCCTACTATGTGCTAGAAACTTCCTTAAACATTGACAAACTTCTCAGAGCAGTAAAGACTAAAACTCTGGACTCCCCCAACCAGACCAGTGACCTTTGCCCATCCTAACTGCTGCATGAAGGGACTTGGGGCTACACCCTGAATGAAAATCCCCTCAATTTCCTTCTCACTCAGTCACACAGCACCAGAAACACCACAGATCATAGTGATGTCTGGATTAGACACACTTGCGGGGAAAGGAAGTTTGACAACCATTCACACCTTAGTATGAATTAGACTCGAAGAGAGCAAAAACTGGGAGTTCTGAGGCAGGGAAGGAATGAAGCAATCATTTCAGAGGACTGCTAATTTACTATTGTTAAGTGTACCAATGGTTCTGTTCTGAGACCTATTATATATGTTGATGAATATTCTCATTATTCCCATTTTATAGAGCCTGACTCTCAGAGAGGAGAGGTGACCTGCCCAAGGTCACAGAGCCAGGAAGGCATAGTATTGGGTTTGGAGACAGGCTGATGGTGAATTACTGAGTCAGTAGAAATGAGAAAAGCTGGAATTGGGGGTGAGGGCCCAGCTCAGGCCAAGAAAGCACACCCAGATACTGAACTCCATAACCGACCCGCCCTCCTCAGCGCTGTGCAGGCCCAGCCAGGGCACTGTGCCAGACAGCAGTTACCCCGCCCATCCCACCCTCTGGGATTAAGGAGGCCTCCCCTCCAGGAGCTGAGCCACAACCTGCAGAGAAAATCTTCCCAGAGGGACAGGCTCAAGCAGCCAAGACCAGGCTGTGACTAACTGGGTTTAGGGCCCCCACCCTGGAGCCCCAGAGACACCCAGCTTTGAGGCCTGCATGCTGGGAGGAGCTGGGGCTGAGAAGGAAGATTCTCTTCTTTACTCCTTCCTTCATTTATTCAATTAATGATCCTTTATTGAGCCCCTACCATGTGCCAGGTGTGGTGCTTGCCCTTTGGGTCCAGCAAGAAATAAGGCAGACACTTTCTTCATCCTCCTCCTGGAGCCGATGGTGAGGCGTCACCATCGGCTCCAGGAGAAGTGTTGTAACAGCCATTTTGAGTCACACACTGGGGCTTGAATCCCAGTCCCACCACTGAGTGGCCGGGGATCTGCCACTTTCCCTCTCTGAGCTTCAGTTCCTCGATGGTAAAGTTGGAGGGGGGGTGATGTCACCTCCCTTGGGATGTTGTCATGGCCTGGCATACAGAGAGATCCCCAGACAGGGCTCCTAGGGCTGTCATTAGTATCTGGGGAGGTCAGGAGGTAAGGGGTCCTTGCAGCCATCAAGAGAAGTCCCTAAGCCTCGCTCCCCTCCTTGGGAATGGCCAGATGGCCATGTTCCTGCCCATGAAATTGGAGTCTTTGCAGAAGCTGAGGTTGTGAGCCTGAGGTTTCAAAGCTGGTTAGTAATGGTAGAGCTGAGATGCTGCTACCACCACACCTAGGCTTCCTGGGGAGAAGTTACCCCAGAAGCTAGCAACATCAGATTCAGAATCCTCTAGCACACAGGCGGCCCTGGATTCTAGCAATGCTAGTGCACAACCCCCGCACCGCTGCTCCTGAGCCCATGCTTGCTTTGCTCCCAGCGACACGTCACTGCTTAGTACCCTCAAAAGGAACTTTGTTCCAAGCATTGCAAGATCTGGATTGGGGGCGGGGGAGGGGGAGAAGGGGGATAGCATCTTCCAGAGAGAGAAATTCTGAAAGGTGTTCCTTACTTCACTTTACACACATCATCTCCAGGAGCCAACACAGCAATGTGTATACCCATTTTACAGACAGTAAACCAAGGCCCCTTGCCCATGTTTGCACAGTTAAAGCAAGACACGACCCAGGCCCGAGCTCCTGCCATCCGGGTCCCTTGCTCTGTGGCTGCAGCACCAGGTGGGTGAAGGGGTGTCAGCATTTCCCGAGCTATACAAGGAGGCTGGGGACTCTTCTGGGAGCTGCATTTGCTGAGTGATGGTTCCAGAGTGACTGAAATGGCCGAATTTCCTAAAGATGCTTTATCCCCAAGTTACAGACAACACATAAGTACGCTGACACCAGAGACAGCTGCTCTTCTTACATAGGGTGGATTTAATGAGCACACAGCTCAACACTTCCGCGTATTATCGAATTCCATCCCCTGGCAGGTCCAGCGGCTGGGTGACCCTTCTCCCAACTTTAGCAGGCGCCCCTGGGGCTCAAGGAGGGTGAGGGGCTTGCCTGACGACACAGAGCAGGGGCACAGGATTCCCCCCAGCCTCTGCCTGGGACAAGCAAGAGTCTGGTATCCACGGGGAATATTTTTAAGAGAGAATATTATTCTTCAGTTCTTGACAATCCAAGCATGACCAAACTCATCCTCCCACCGGATTCATTCCAGCTGGGGGGACCCAACACGCCCTAGGACCGCGGCTCCCCCGGGCTGCCAAGTGGCTGCTGATAAGTCAGCAGCCGGAAGCCGCCTCAAGTCAGGGCCTGCCCCAGCTCCGGAGAGGCCCTCAGTCCCTGCTCCTAAGGCGGCAGGCATACCAGCCCTCCCACACTAGGACCCAGAAATAAAACCGCCCCCTCACCAAGTTTCCCAGGATTGAGGGGAGACCCTGGAGTCACTCAGTGCTGGCACCTGCAGACACCTGGGAACCTAACGGGTGTTGTCATGTTTTCCACTTGTTAGCTGGCAGCCTCCCGTGTCAGACTGTGGCTGCATGGGGGAGGGGCAGGCTCCGTCTGTTCCATGCAGCACTCTGCACACAGCAGGCGCTCAGCTGGGGCCTGTGCACTGACTGTGAAGTGACCCTCATCCCTATTTGACAGATGGGAAAACTGAGGCCACAAGAGGCAGGAGCTGCCCAGGGGCCGCCTGGAGCCAGGTCACCAGCTCTGGGGCCAGCACCCTCCTTTCAGCCCAGCATTCCCAGCAGGGTCAGGCTGAGGTGGACCCCCGGACCCCGCCTACCTGGGCTGCTGGCCCCAGATGCAGTACCTCAATTTCCTCATCTGTAACTTGGGGGTGGTGATTCCTGGCAGGCCTGGCGCAGAGCAGCTTGGGGAGACCACACAAGAGAAAGAGCTGATGATGCCCTACATGCGGTGGGGGGATTAGTCCCAGAGGGAGACAGGTGTCATCAACGCAAAACGTATCACCTCAAGTGTGCCTCACCCCATGCAGGTAGCACAGGGGCCGAGGTGAGGGGCTTCTGGTTCACGGACCACATGGCATGCGTGACTGCAGGGTGATGACTGCAGGCAGCTTTTAAGGACATCCCCCCATTGGTCAGAAGGGACCACCTCAGATGCCACACAGGGGGCAGGGCCTGGAGCTGGGATGCTCTGCTCTTCCTCCCCGAAAAGGTCCTTCCTGCACTTTCTTCGTGTGCACAAGTCTTTGCTGATCCAGCCAGCCCCTTCCCCACAACCCTTCCCTGGACACCACAGCACTTGACTGGGTCATTTTGGCCGCCGACTTTGTATCACGCTGTGGAGGGGCCAGCGGCCTCCTGCTCACCCCGCTGCAATCAAGAGACCCGCGACGAATTTTGTCTTCCGCGCTTCTCCGCCCGCAAGGGAGACAGTAAATTCCAAGACAGGGGGGAGAGAACCTCAAGCCAGTGACAAAAAAGCGAGCACGTGACTAACGAATGTTCCGTTTCTCTTACAGGGTTCCGTGATGAGAGCGCCTACCACCTGTGGAGCACGAGACTTGGCTCCCATCACCTGGGCTCCCGGCACTTCAGCCCAGGAAAATGGGGGAAATAATAGAGCTGGCCATCATGGAGGCGGTTAGGAGGATTAAGTGAAATGATCCATGTAAAGTGCTTAGCGCGCTGCCCAGCGCAGAGCGAGCTCCCGCCGACGCTACGCGTCAAGTTCTGCCCTGTGTTTTTGTTGACCAGTCCGCAGGCCAGAGTGAGGATCGGCAGGGCCGGCTCCGTGACCCTTGTACTGGCCAGGGCTGGAGTGAAGGGAGAAGGGAAAAGATGCTCACTTGTGTACCTGGAGGCAGACATTTCACAGTTAATTTCCCTTCTGGAGGCGCCGCCCACAGAGGGGGCTAAGTTTTCTTTCTTATTTAAAGTCAGGAAAAAAAAAAAAAAGGCCTTGTCACCAACTTGCTCTATGTTCGATATTCCTGGGACTGGGTTCCAATTTGAGTGAACTACATGCTCAAGTGTAGTGAGCTCAGTGGGGACAGCTGCCCCCACCCCACAGCTGAGGTGCTGCCTCTATGGTACTCACAGCTCTATCCTCCAACCCTCAGAAACGGGACTTCTGCCTGACCTCCTCCTGGGAGAAGGCTGTGGGAGTCAGCGGTGGGCTCCCTGCGTGCTAATCCAGGGTAGGGT